TAATCCCTATGGCTTGGGGTCCTTTGACTTGTTTGCCTGTTTAATGCGTCACAAGGTGAATAACAGAAGTCGTAGCACAGGTCTGGGACACGTTACATGCCCAAATGTAATACTTAAGGTTAGGGGTTTGTTCATGTACTTCATAAGCTCCACTAATAACGCAATAAATGATATATTTATGACTGTTACACGAGGTAAACCTGCAGGGTTAAGCATTTATGTGTGCAGGTCTTTCTCTCTCCTGCCTCTTTGCTGTTCCAGCAGCCCTAGTTAATCAACATTTGGTATTGTTGTGTAGAACAGCCCAGACAAGCCAGCTCTCTTTGTTTGCCTTAATGTTGGACTAGTGGAGGTTATATTTACTCATTCCTCTCAGCTCCCAGAGCACCAGAAGCCCTGAGCTCGCTCACACACACACTGGGAGCTTGCCCTTAACTAGAGCTGTTGACTTCATGCTAATAAGTTCATACAAATTTTCATTTCTGAGGCTTGGGAATGACATTTGCTTTTCTTAATTGCAGGCAGAGCGTTTGAAAGAGGATCAAGTCTCCAAAGACAGACACGACTCCTCATAGGGACTGACCTTCATCAGCGCAACCAATTATAGCAAATCATTCACCAAAAATTACAGTAAACAAATTTACTTTCTGTAGGTGAGCAGAAGGAAAGGAGTGCGTGCACGTGAGCGTGTCTGCGCGTGTGCGAGGTGAGAACAGGCCCACGAGAGGGGCAGTCTGGCAGCTGTGGCCTGAGATCACCACGCATTGCCTCGGAATTCGTAACGCTCCACCCCCGCCATCCCAGAGAAAGGGCTGCCAGACCTCTTGCCCCTCCGCCGCAGAGCATTTGCATACATTCTGCGCGAATATAGAGAGGGAACATGTGTTGAATGGGAAGCATAAAGGAGTGAATTACACAGCCTGTGTTCGTCAGCTAATGATATACGTGCGAAATGCACTCAAGCAGATGATGGAAATTGGAGAAAGCGGACATGGTCTATGGCGGCCCGAAGAGGCCAAGTTCAACACTCCACTAGGAAGTGACGGGCAGGAACGTGTTTTAGCATTGGAGAACAATTTAGCAGGGGATATAGATTGGTCTGTGTTCGAAATAGAAACTAACATTACATGGAGTATCCCACAACGCATTTAAATTATTTTTTTTTTTTTTATTGGTTAGAACCAATAATATAATAAATAATATATTTAATGTATTTAATAAATATAAAATATAATAGGGTATTTATATAATATTAATATAATTATATATGTAATGTTAATACAAGTATAAATATAAGATAATATATTAAGTATTATTTATCACATTTAAACATATTACAAATTTTATTTATTTAAAATTCAATATTTAATAAATATGATATTAAAATGTCGTGGTAGTAAATCATGCATTCTTTAGTATTTAAAATTGTAACTATTATTTAATATTTAAAATATTATATTAATTGCTGCAACAAATATTGCATTTTTACACAAACAATTTAAAAATGGCAAAATAACCATTTATTTCTAAGATAATAATTGGATGCCACTCACATGCAACATAAAGAGATCATGTGATTCCAAATTTATTTATAAAATATTTATAATTTTTGATGGTCACCATTTCACTTACTATTTATAAAAATAGTATCCAGTATACATGTGCATGTTATTGAGACTATAAATCAATAAAGTGTGGTAAAGTTCATAAGAGAATAAAAACGAATACTAAAATATAAAATTAGCATTCCAAGAAGGAATCTGCATGCATGCATGGATGTATAAATGTATTGACTAATTTTATGGTAGTTCTTTACGCTCAGAGAAATCGCTGGCTTTGTTTCGACGGGCTTCCTCTGGCTGAAGTGGACGGTCATCAAGCAAGACTGTGTGTGAGTGTGTGTGTGTTTTCCCGTGTGTATTGTTTACAGAACACCACGGCATCTTGGTGTGAAGCTTTAATCAGACTTGAGTCGTCTTCCATGGCAACATGGCGGCCGGCGTGTTTGTCACCTTCTTCGCTGCACTCCCCAATATTGAGGCACTCTAACAGGTCCCATCCTGCCTGCTGCAACCTTCCTTTGTTCCAGCGCGTAAAATGTCTTGTAATTGTGCAGGGGATGTCCAGATGGCAGGCTGATCCCGGCGCTGATGGGATTAGAGCTCTTACCTCACGTCGGCCCATCTGTCCTCTCTAACTGACTACGACCTCACAGACGCCGACCGCTCGTCTTTATTGCATAAACCTAACAACATTACCGCCACTTGGTATGCAAATCAACCCGGAGCTGTAGGCCCAGACTGGAGGGGGTGCATGCGCCGCAAGAGAGACTTTCTTTTGCTCGCTCTAAATGTCTTCCTCCTCTTTTCTGTCTTGCGCATCGCTATATTCGCAGAGCCAACGCTAGGTGGTTTCCAAATCTGGGAATATGTGCTTTTGGACAAGGGAGGGGGCTGTCGATTGTGTATGTTGTGTCTGGCTATGTGCAGATGGGGCCGTTTTGGATGCGAGTGCGTGCACGCACACTCGCGCCTGTGTGAATTCGTACATATGTTTCTGCGTGCCGTATCTAAATGGCCCTAATGCAAAAGAAACCCTCCTATAGTGTGTGCTCGCCTCTTTCTCCTCCCCCAGGTTTTGTTCTCCAGCTGTAAATAATGAAAGGGGCTCATGTGCTCAGAGAGCACGGCAACGGTGAGGGTCCGCTGGGCCATGCAAGAGGGAATTAGTTTAAGTTGAAGATCAGAAGGCAGAGTAAATTCACTGTCCGGGAAAATTCGCCTGAATTAGATGATTAGATAAAAGTGTGAGAGGAAAGGAGAAACGGTAGGACCTCCCCGTGGCCGCTTTCGAGCTCTCTCGGCTTGCATTTATCACTTTCAAGAATGTGTTTCTAATCTAAACCACCCCGTATCTGCGGCGCAGGCCCGGGCTTGACCGTAAATATGGATGAATTTATATTTTACGACTATATATCCTGTACATGTGTGCACTTCTAGACCAGAATGGAAAGAGATGACAGGTTCTCGAGTTTCCTTCTCGGCCGAATGATAAGTTTTAAATGTTCTCCCGAGTTTAAAGAAGTGATTAAACGGCAAGTTCGGCAACTGTCAGATGCTAGGAAACTCTTTATTTCCGTTTTAACGGCCCCCCAGTTGCCCTTAAAGGGCCAGATATTAGATAGGTAGCTGTAATATTCACTACGACCCAAATTTGCCATCGTGGCGGGTGAAACAGCAGGTAACTAAGTGGTGAGAGCGCACGTCTGCAAGGCCGGTGGGTTTTTAAGGAGGAGGTGAGCTTTTAAAACAGTCGGAAATTTAAAAGAGTTGTCAGGAATATCGCCACTACTTGTTACAGTGCTGTCAGAATTCACCGCGAGTGGGAACGGATTCATTCTGTGAATATCGTATGCAAGGCCTAGCGATAGAAAGTTTTGATGGAAAGGATAAAATCACAAATTATGAACGATCTTTTCCCAAGCACAATAAAACCACTGAAATCCGAACTATACGATGGTTGTAAACACAGTAATGGAAGCTTAGAAAAAGATTTACAATAAAAAGCGCTCTGGAAACCGGGCTTTGATGAAGGATAGCCTCGGCAGTGTTTGGGTTGGGCCGTGTTTTTTCTTTCTTTCTCCTTCTCGGTCTCACGGGACTCAGGCAGACGAGGGGAGAGGCCTCAACCTTCTTAATTGCTCTCCTAATTAAAGGCGGTTGCTAAGGAAAACACACCTACTATCAAGCAACTACAGCAGAGAGACAAACAATACGTCAGCATACCAAACGCTCGAGTGCTCAGGGCACAAACGTTCAATTACGCTACTTCTGTACTGCGTTCCGCCGACGTTAATGCGAGAAGCCAGGAAATAGAAAACAAATATTTTTGCTGGGTTTTTTGTCTCACACGAGCAGGGATTTGATGCAATTTCTCTTGCATCATTAAATATTACTGGCGCTTTGGTTGATATGGTAATTACAGACTGATTAAGACAAAGCAAATACTAATGTTATGTTTTTAAATGAGCAGAGATTATGTTCTGTTTTAAAGCTTAGCCCAGAGATTTGAGTACTGAAGTAGAGCGATCAAAACCAGCTCAGTCTAACAAAGCAGCAAAATCTGAATTTTACCATCCAGTGACTTGCTTTATACCTCCAAGAAGCAAAAAAAACCTCATTGTATAAAAATACAGTGTTAGCCTGGATGAAATCAGTGCATTTTCTGCACTTAATTTGTAGGAATATTCATGGTCAAATGTATTAAACGTAGCAAAGTGAAAGCATATTCAGATTAAACAAAATATGTCATATTAATGTGTTTATTAAATATTTTGCATGTGCTGATTTGCTGTCTGTGCCTATGTGACAAAAATCACACCACACTTGATTTAAGATACAATCTTCAGAACTACCAAAAAATATATGACATATATAACTGAAGATAATTAAAAAACGTGGCCCAAAATCATTCAAAAATAGCAAAAATTCTAAAAATTCAATCAATAATAATATAAACAGTGAATTAATCAGGTAGCATCAAAAATCTAAACTAAAAAGTTCTAAAAGTACTACTCAGTGGACAGAGAAAGCATGAATATTCTCTAAAAGATGATGTTTCCTCTAAAGCTTCACTACTATGTTTTGTGGATGAGCGAGAAAAGGCGGATGTGGATGACTAAAAGAATGTAAGCTAAAAATGTGAAAAGGGGAAAAGGGAAAGGCAGGAATACAGAAGGAGAAAGTGAGAAAAGCTTGGCAAATAATAGTGTTATGGGAAATGTGCCTACCATTCTCCAGATAAGGAGTGGCCGTACCTTCTGAGGGGTCAAGGCGGCGGGCTCTTCTGCCATGTTTTGAGTTGTTGTGGACGAACATGTTGTCCGACACGGCCAACACATGACCATCCACATTGACCGTTGTCGATACAACGACCTGTGAAGAAAACGTGAAGATGGTTTGAAGGAATGTTCAGTCTCTACATTGGGCCTTGTGTGAAGTTCATAAAATTTTGACTTGGTATGAATAGGTCGGTAACACTTTACTTAAAGCCTTTATATATAATGTATTATAAAAGTATTTTTAATACATTAATCAATGCACATTATAATGCATTGTATGGTCTCATGAATAATTATAACCACAGTTACAGTATAAAACATTATAACACTTATCTATTAATTGAACATACCTTTAGAAAGTATTAAACACATGACAAACAACAAATTTCAAATGTAACCAGGAATCTACTATTTTAACTTTGGTTACAATTGTTAATGAAAAGATTTAATGCAGTATAATGTACATTATAAATACCTTTATAATGCATTATACATAAGGCTTTAAGAAAAGTGTTATCAATAGGTCTTTAGAAATTAAATTGTTCACCATCTAAATAATATTTAATACATTAATTATTATAAACTGACAAAAAGCATTCTTCCAAAAACTAAAAAAATAACAATGCTGTACATTAGTTTCAGTTTGGTGTGAGTGTTAGTAAAGATGCACTGATTCACATTAAAATCTTTATTTTTAATTAAATTAATTGTTCAACATCCAACCATTAAAAATACATAAATAAATCACATTAAACAAAATTAAAACTCCTTAATTAAAAAGAAAGAAATTACAGTTGATAGCTGTATTACAATTTGAGTTTGTAGAAATCCATTATTTCACATTAAAATCATGTTGCACATGTTTTTCTTGATATAAACAGACTCTGCTTAGATTTAGAATATACTTCACTCAACTAAATGAATCATTTGGCATCCAAAAAATATCAGGCCTGTTTTTGACCAGAGGCCTTTCTGAGTACTTAAAGGCCAGAGAAACAAGAAGAACACTTCTGAGGGCGTCTGCTGGTCTTTATCAGAAACCGAGGCTCTTTTTTCAGCTCCCTCTTTGTTGTGTGTCTTATATGCGAGAAAATGAACACAAAAAGCCTTTTTGGCCTGTGGTGTCGACTCAACATGAGAGCAGGTCTCGGTACAGTTAGCGGATGAACCCAGCGCGTCTCTGATCAGTAGGGTCCTTTGGACACGGACACACACGCGCCACACACACCGCGTTCGCAGCTTTGTTTGTTAGACTTCTCTCCTCCGTACCAGCGAGGCTTTTTTTGAATGCTGACAACCGTGCGACCACTCCGCACCTTCGAAACAATAACTGCAAACACATTTGCCTCGCTAAGCGCTGGAGCTTGAACCTGTGCCCATTGTTTATTTTCCAAGCCAAGCAGGAGGGAGCGAAACAAGGGAAAAGTTGCTCGCTTTTGCAGTCTTACTAGGTTTGGTGGAACTACTCCCCACGGGCTTCACATTATTAAAACAATAAGTTATATCGCTATAATCTGAAAAAAGAGTCTGTTTTCACACCTTAAGCAACGAAAGATGACTCGCACGGTTCAATACGCTTCGTGTAAGCTGGCACACCGTCTGACTGCTAATGACCCAGCCTGAATTCGAACAGGCTACTGTTAGCTACGGCACAAATCTGCTTAGAAACTTCCAAATAAACACGTTCACTTTAAATTAACGCGCACGCATTCGACATGTTCCAAACAGGTCTTGAAATTTCTCAAAACCCATTATAAAGCACTTTGTACTTTTCCAAAAATGGAGTACACTAATTCTGGGTGTCAAACACTAAATCAAATTCGCTTAATGAAGGTGAAGAATGTTTAACATTGTCTTATTCTGGTCCTCGGTTGCAATAGGTCATGGTATTTCTTTCTCCAAACGAAGCGCCGTGCAGGAATCGACTCTATATAAAGCACATTTAATTTCTCATTTGAAGAATATAATTAACCTTTGTAAGAAGGAGAACCTCTTTTTTCCTATTTAAAGGAGACACTTGGGCGGTTACATGAGTGCGCGTGTTAGATAAAGGACGAGAGGCTTGTCTGAGAAGAACTAGCCAAGCCCTTGTCAATCAAAGAGAGGCCTCCGTTTTGAAGCACTGTGGCTTTTTTTTTCACAGAAGGCTACAATTAGTGTTTAATCTGCCACTTAAGGTGAACAGAAATAAGCGGAGAGTCTCTCATCTGCTCCATCATCCATTAGCAGCCACTCAAACGCTGCCTCCGGCCCACAGATCGCTAGCTCACCCCATTACATTGATCTATAGATTTATTGATTAGCTGTTTTATCTTATTAGTCACAGCCTGAGTAAGGGCTGTGATGGAGAAGGGTGGCAGATCCTCAAAAGAAAAAGAGAATTTGAGAAGAGCCCCTCTGGTAGCAGATGAGGGGGGGTTCTTTGTTTTTGTTGATCTGTTTACTAAAGAGGGCTGCCCATACAGTTGCATTGAGAGAATGAGGCTCGTTTAGCATCTGAATGAGGAGAGGGGTTGGAGGGGTGGGCTGCCGTATTGTGGGGGGTCTGAGGTGGAAGTGGAGCAGTTACAATCTGGAATATTCCCTCTGTCACATTCACAATCAAGAGTCACGATAAGAATGATACTTGAGGCCTATTTACAACAAATAAGATGCAATTAATGTTCACAAACTACTTTATGCATTACCGAATTGATTGAGAAGGATACAATTTGTATATTGAAATTAATTATTTAGCACTGAACTAACTGACAAAAAATCTGAATAAAAAATACAAATAATGAATAACATTTTAAAATGTAATAATTATAAATAAAAATTAATTGTAAAATAATTTTAAAAGTACATATAATTAAAAAAATTCCATTTTGAATAAAAAAAAAAAAAGATAGATACAGTTTGTATTGTTTGGATACTGAAATCAATTATTCAGCATCAAAACAATTTAAACAAAAATTTTAATTTATTATTTGTTTTATTAATTTGTATTATTGTATTAAATTAATTAATTAAATTAATTTTATTTATTGTATCAGTTATTACAAAAATGTAATAAATGAATTAATAATGATAAATAAATAAATATAAATAATAAATAAAACAAATTATTAGTTAAATAATATTAATCGTTGAACAAAATATAAATAATTATTTTAAATATAATAAAAAAAAAAAAAAAACTTATTTGGAATAGGAAGAAAAACTAAGTGAATATAAAAAGCCCAAACTAATGGCAGTTACATTTTATGGAATTAGGTTCAGAAGCCTTTTTTGCATTAAATACAATTGTAAATGTCTGTCCTGTCAAAAAGACATGGAGTGAATAGACCTCTAGATGTATACTTCTCTCAGGAAAAATAGAGGAAAAGACAGGACAGGAAAAAAAGAAAAAGAAAAAGAAAATGGAATGGCAAATGGGGGAAGACAGGGACCCCAAAAGCACGACCTTGCCATGAGATCATGGAGAAAAGAACATGAGTGAAATTTATTCTGGAGGTGGCATTTAACTTAGCAGAGCAGAGTTTAAGGGTTAGCGCTGGAGGAGAGGTGTCTTGTTAATGGACTCTGCTCACAGACTGACAGGCATCACGGCTTTGGGTCATTTGTCTCACAGGCTGCTTTTGGTTGGAATTGTCTGCTGATTATGATTTTAAAAAAAGTGATGCTGTCATAAGCTCTCCCCGCAGGGTTGTTTAAATTATTTTGAGTAAAAACACCAGAATGTGGAGTGTAGAAGGGAATGTTTTGAAGGGTGATGTTTCCTTGAAAGAAGTTTTGAGGAGATAAGAACAGATTCCACAGGCAACGACTGATGGAGAAGAGAGAAGTCAGAGTGAATGAACGAACAGAAACGAGTGCTCTTTGAAGATACAGTGGCATTAGTATGGCTCTCCATACACACACACACACACACACATACACGCCGAAACCAGGTGCTGAGGCAGAGAAGTGTAAATAGGTTGAAAACCAAGACATGCTGTTACAGCGAGAGAAAGAGAGGTCCAGTGACTTTATTGTGGGGAGGCACATCCGCGGTGACGGATGTTTCTTTTACTCGGCGTGCAGACAGAAAGGACACTTCCTCTCTCGCCGGCTCTGACCTTCTGCTCTGGAAGCATGGATCAATATCAGTGAAGACACTTGACGTTCCAGAGCATGAAAAATGAAAGTTGTGCAAACGGCTGCACCACTGCTGCCCGCTCGACAATACATCTATATAACCACAAGTATATAAACACACATCCTCGCAGCACTGGGTTAAGCGGAGCTGTCACACACACACACACACACACACACACACACACGTAATGAAGTCCAAGGCTGAGGCCTTTCTGTGTACTGTATCTAATAATGCCTTCTGTGACTGAATGGTAACACATAGAAATAGAGGTATATAAATAATGAAAGTAGTGTAGATATATATAGTGCAGATACATTTGTGGAGCATAGACCTTTACATAAGAAAATATGTATAGAGCGATAGATAGAATTGTCAGACAGACGATAGATAGATAGATAGATAGATAGATAGATAGATAGATAGATAGATAGATAGATAGATAGAGTGCAGATACATTTGTGGAGCATAGACCTTTACATAAGAAAATATGTATAGAGCGATAGATAGAATTGTAGACACAGACAGACAGACAGACAGACAGACAGACAGATAGAACAACAGAACGATGACAGACAGACAGATAGACAGATAGACAGATACTGAAGATTTATTTTTATGTGCATAACATTTGGAATGTGCTTCAGCAGAATTGCAGAATCGAAGCATCTCTGGAGGAGACGTTTAAATATATCCATCAAGCGATACACCATACAGTTACCCCAGCAAGCGGCCTGTTTTTCACATTAGAATGTGTGTGTGTGTGGAGAGAAAAATAAAACATTACCTGGAATCTGCGCATGTCCCGTGGGTTTCCTGCATTCTTCAGGCAGTTCTGATTACACTTGAGGAAGAATTTCAAAAAGAATCTGCAAGAGAAGACAAAGAGAGGGAAAACTCCACGTTAGACAATCAATCCAGCAAAAAACCGGGAGAAAACTGTCACGGAACAAATCGATAGCACAAAATACAAACGTAGACTTCATAGCAGAGCGAGTCCAGGACGTCCACATACAACACGACTGGCACAAAAGCGCGATCAAACCGACAGCTGGATTCACCTTGTTTCTAGATAATTCCCCTCAGAGTAATGATCATTAGTGTTTTGTTCCTCACCCTCCCACGACCTCCCTGTCTCTCTGTTTATCTGTTTTTCAGTCTGTCCGTGTGGCTGACGCATCCAAATCCCACAGTTCCCCATGCACAGAACCCATCTGCCCGTCACTGACAGGAAGTCAGTTAATATTCCGCCCCCTTCTTTCCTCCCCTGTTCTACCCTGTAATTAAGGCTTAACGTGCTCAATGGGGAGGTACACCAGCACACCTGAGCCCTGCTCATCACAGACGAGGACCGGCGAATGGGGTAGGAGACCTAACGAGGTGAGAGCGGCCCGCAAACTTACAGTCCTGTTAGACAATTAGACACACCCCGCCACCATGACAACAGCACCCGGTAATTATTGCGCAAATTACTAACTGCATAATCTGTTCGGCAAATGTCATGTGCGCGCGAGAGTCAAAGAAGGTCCCATCGGACGGGCCCTCGCACACACACACCTCAAGAACTAAAACCTGGTGTTTTTAAGAGGTAAAGAGACACTTCAAGAGTCCTTCAAGAGAAGGAAGACGGATAAGAGGGCTTATGGGACGAGGAAGTTGAAGGCTCGTACAGCTGGTGCCACACTCCTTGTATAACAGGAAGTGGTTTGTTAAAGAGGAAGACCACTTGTAGAAAAAAAAATAAGGGAGAAATTGCAATGGAAGTCAGAAGAGCAGACTGAGTTTTTGATAAATTGTTTTTTAAAGCCGTTTGTTTGCAGCAATAGAGGGAAAAAAACTAAATAGATGGATAGAACTATAGACAGATTTATGGATGGATGGATGGATGGACGGATGGATGGAAGGAAGAATAGATAGATAAAACCATAGGTAGATGGTTGGATGGAATGATAAAAATATGGATTGATGGTTGGATGGAATGATAAAACTATGGATGGATGGAATCATAGAATCATAGGTGGGGTTGATAGATGGATGGATGGATAGACAGAACCATAGAACGATAGATAGATAGATAGATAGATAGATAGATAGATAGATAGATAGATAGATAGATAGATAGATAGATAGAACAATTTTTATTACTGATTTGACATATGCACGCAGAGTGAGCTAACTTTTCCTAAAAGGGGCCACGGTTCGTCCAGAAATCCAGCATGTGGGAAATTTGTCTTTGTATATGGATGTCCATGTCCACCAATATTTACCTCAGCGTTTCAACCCTTGAGAGGCTTTACGTACGGCGTAAAGGTCCCTCGTTCTCGCTTGCGCCCACGCTACTGTGTCATGCATTGCAGATTGTGTTCAGTGTTGAGTTAACACATGTATTTCACTAGGTAAACAGTCCGAACGAGAGACTTCATCCTGCATACACACACTCTCCGATGGGACCGCGAGCCGAGCAATATATCACTGTGTGAAATGACATCTGCAACCCTGAACACCCCTCCACTTCCAATTCTCATTTATATACAGTCACCCTTTCCTCCCGACAGAGAGGGAATGTTTAGGATTGAGATAGATTGAGGAAAAGTAGGAGAAAGACGAAGCAAGGGCCCCGAAGGTGGCCTTGGTAGTTTCAGAAAATTTTTAGTGACCGGCGTCAATAAAAAGTGAATTTCAGCATTGCTGGGGTAGGCGTAAAGAAAGATGGCAGTCATAACAGCCAGAAGAGGCCAAAAACACGTCTGCCGTCATTAAAGCATTAGCTTTAATTGTGTACAGTGTGTGTATGGTAGTTGTTGGACAGGCCATTATCAGAATGAGTATTACGAGCTGTAATTCGCGGCCCCTGTCTTTATTTCCCCATAGAGCTGTAATGTTTCACAGCAGGTATCGGAGTAAATCAAGCCTGAAATATAGCCTTTATTTACCTCTCTCACTTGCTATCTCTCTCTCACTTGTTTTTTTTTCCTCACTCTATAGCCACAAACAAATGGCTTCACACACATGTACACAGGTGGACACACTTGTGCTAACTCAAAGATTATTGCAAAGCACCCATTCGGAGGTTTGAAAGTGAGATGGACCGCATCAATTTCAATAGATACAGCAAAAACATGAAGAACCCTAGAGGTACATAATAAAACCCGGAATGCATTTCAAGTACATTTACAATGTGAGCTGTGGTACAAAAATAAAAATACATGTGTATATATATATATATATATGTATATATATACTGTATATATATGGTCATGTGAACAGTGCAGGTTTCAGTCCATCTCCAACAATTTCCTGTCATTCTATTGTAAATGACATAAAAAAAATTAAATCACCTATTATAGCCAAACATGTTTACAATTAATGTCAAAGAAAATCAGTAAATTAGATTAATTATAAACGAAATTGCCGGGTATTATCACCAACAGGCAAACGTATAAAAGCGTTCAAAAACACACACGCTCTCATTAAGACTGTGTTCAGCGGTTGCACGTGTTCGCTTGGGGTCTGTTTACCTCCGAGTTTGATTAAGTGAATTTCCGCAGCTTTCTGAACACAATGATATTCAGCTGCTGTCCACAACAGCACCGTAATTTCATCTGAATTAGAGCAGTTTCACGTCTGCATGGGGATTGAGTAAATTAGTCCTTTGTGAAAAGGCAAGCAATTATGGCCACACGGTTCTCTCTCCCTTTTGCTCTCTCTAAATGGCTCCAGAACTTTGCGGCGATGTTCGCGACAGTCGGAAATAAAGAAGGCAGTTAAATAGTCATTTAATGGAATATCAAGGAGAACGCAGCATTAGATGCTGGCAACGGAGAGCAAGGAAGGGAAGAAAAAATGAACTGCAATTATGTTTGATTAAAGCTATCCTTCTCAATAATCAGCATTTGTGACAGGACACAGGACTCTGGTGGCCTATGGATGCCATGGAGATGTTGAGCAATATTAAGGCCAATAAAGGGATATTAGCATAGCTAATTATGGAAGAGCTGTAGCAGCGAAAGGGGGCCTCTGTGTATTGTAACGCGCAAAATAATTGGCCGAAGCAGTTATCAATTACAAAAGACACGAATTTGGTTTGTCAGAGGGAAAAAAAAGCAAAGCAGACGTGTTTAATTTCACATCAGAGACCCTTCTTCCCTCGCTTTTGTTCTTCACCGGAGGCGTTCGACTTCTAGCTTCCACTGCAACTTGTCGACAAATCTGTGATAAAATTATCTGGCCGGCTGGCACGGAGTAATTAATACAACCTGTCCTTCACAGCTCTTTCTGACCAGAGGGGCCGAATCCTTATGATGGTGGCGAACGAGTGCATGAGAGAGAGAGAGAGCGGGAGAGAAAGAAGACGGGGGGCTTGTCGTTTGAAAGGACTTTGGCTTCACAGGTTGAGGTAATTGAGAGGAAAAAAGGGGTACGTTTCAAGCACATCAGCTCAATAACAGCCTTTAGCTCTTATCTTAACCCAAACCATCATTGGATCGTTTTCCTGCCCTCATTCAAAGGAGAAGCCCCCCTCCCAGCCTCTCCTTCACACTAATCCCACTTCATTCAGCACAAAAGATGCAAAAACAAATAAATGCAGGGGGTGATGCTTCTGTCCCATAACCCTCATCATAATTGTAAGGTTACTCTTGTCCATCATCTTGAACTATCGATGCATTTTGCATCATCAATGAAAACTGTAGCAGGTTAACTACAGATGACAGCTATGACAAAAATGAACAATTTGAAAATCAGAGGAAAGTATTATTGCACTTTCATAGCTCAGATTTTATGTATATCTTAAAATTACTGACAAAATAAAGAGTAAATTGTTGAATTAAAATAAGAGTATCAATCTTCACTAAAAAAAGGGTGCACGCTGTAAATGATTTTCTTAAGTTGTAAATTAAACCAAGATTATTGGAGTACATTTCACAAGAAAACACCATTACATTTCATGTTTAATTCAGTGTGTTACTTGACACGTTCAGAAATTTACTAGCAGATTCTGAGCGAAAACTGCTTCTACATCAAATTCTATTCATATAGTTTGAACATTATTCACTCAGAAATTGCTAGTAAATTTCACAAATAATTACAAAATAACAGCAAGTAACACATTTAATTAAACATCACATTTTTAAGTAGAAAGACTTAGTAATAGTATTTAGAAATATAAATAGTATTTTTTCTGTAAATCATAATCTGTTTTATTTACATCTTTCTCTCTATATACTCTATATAGAGTATGTATACTCTATATACTGTTTTATACACTTTATATATATATATATATATATATATATATATATATACAGTATATACAGTATATAGGAGAATGATCTAGGAGAAATATCTGAGATATTAAAAAGATCTTAATTTCTTTCATATGGGACAAAACTAAAATCTAGCAAGCTCTAATACCACATGTCGAAATATTTGTCAGTTCCATAAATGATCGTATTGTGTTTGGTTTGTTGTCTAATGTTGTCGATTTAGACAAAAGATTGGAAAAAAAACTGCAACTGCTTTTCTTCCTGTCGTCCCAAGACAGATGAGTGGATGTAAAGAGAGGTAAAGAAATACAATGGCAGATGGGAGTGTGTATGTGTGTGTGTGAGCGGTCAGTGTGGACACTAATTGCTGCTCAGGCGTTAATGGTTAGGGCACAGCTGTGTGACTCTGCTGAGTATTGATCACCAAGCAACTTTAGCTGATCAGACCCCAGCCATCCAGACAATACAGAACACACACACACACACACACACACACTTACAAGAGTACATTCTGCTGATTTCAGGTCCAGAAGCTGAGACGGTACACAGGTCAATACAGATCACATTTCCAAATGCACAAGCTCCTTGTGTCAGCTCTGGCTTCT